TGGTGATTGGTCAATGACTCCCAATCGGAGGTAACGAGTGTCAGCTGTCGGCTCGTTATCTCTGATTGGGAGCCATATTTAAACTGTGTGTTTTCACCTTGTGTTGGTGGGTTTTTGTTCCTGATGTTCCTTTGTTCCTGTGTTCCGTGTTTGTGTCACTGAGGACTTCACGATCGTGTTTTGTTTTCGTGTGTGCGCTTTATTCAATAAAGTCATGTTCGTTCAACACGCTGCGCTTTGGTCCGCTCATTCTCAAGACGATCGTGACAGAAAAACCCACCAACACAGGACCAAGCAGCGTGTCCAGGAGCCTAGGGTCTGGACATGGGAGGAGATTTTGGACGGAAAAGGGTCCTGGACTTGGGAGGAGATCCTGGATGGGATGGATCGCCGTCCATGGAGCGAAACTGTGGAGAGGCGACGGAGAGAGGAGCAACGGCGTCGGCAGGGCCATCGTCGGAAGGACGAGAGGCAACCCCAAGAAATTTTTGGGGGGGGGCACATGGCTTGGGCGGCTGGGCAGCAGGAGGCTGCCACAGGTAGACGTGGAGAGAAGGCTACCGGAGTACGGGAGCCATTGGCGAGTAGAGGGAGGGAAGTTGTTGTGGCACGGCGTGAGAGACTGAAGTGTGTTACCAGTCCGGTCCGGCCCGTTCCTGAGCCCCGGTTAAGGCCAGTGGTGTGTGTTCCCAGTACGGACCGGCCTGTGTCTACTCCACGCGTCAAGCCCACGGTGTGCGTCGCCAGCCCAGCCCGGCCTGTTCCTGCGCCACGTACGAAGCCTACGGTGTGCGTCGCCAGCCCAGCCCGGCCTGTCCCTGCGCCACGTAGGAAGCCTACGGTGTGCGTCGCCAGCCCAGCCCGGCCTGTTCCTGCGCCACGTACGAAGCCTACGGTGTGCGTCGCCAGCCCAGCCCGGCCTGTCCCTGCGCCACGTAGGAAGCCTACGGTGTGCGTCGCCAGCCCAGCCCGGCCTGTTCCTGCGCCACGTACGAAGCCTACGGTGTGTGTCGCCAGCCCAGCCCGGCCTGTCCCTGCGTCACGTAGGAAACCTACGGTGTGCGTCGCCAGCCCAGCCCGGCCGGTTCCTGTGCCACGTACGGAGCCTACGGTGTGCGTCGCCAGCCCGGCCCGGCCTGTTCCTGCCACTCGCACCAAACCAGGGGTGCGAGTCGCCAGCCTGGTCCAGCCCGTTCCGGCTATTCGCACCAAGCCTCCTGTGTGTCCCCAGAGTCCTGTGCGTCCTGTTGCTGCTCCCCGCACTAGCCCTGAGATGCGTGTCCTCAGCCCGGGACCACCAGTTCCGGCACCACGCACTAGGCCTTGTGTGCGTCCCCAGGATCCGTCAGCCAGCCATGAGCAGCCAGATCCGTCAGCCAGCCATGAGCAGCCAGATCCGTCAGCCAGCCATGAGCAGCCAGATCCGTCAGCCAGCCATGAGCAGCCAGATCCGTCAGCCAGCCATGAGCAGCCAGATCCGTTAGCCAGCCATGAGCCAATCCGTCAGCCAGCCATGAGCAGCCAGATCCGTCAGCCAGCCATGAGCAGCCAGATCCGTCAGCCAGCCATGAGCAGCCAGATCCGTCAGCCAGCCATGAGCAGCCAGATCCGTCAGCCAGCCATGGGCAGCCAGATCCGTCAGCCAGCCATGAGCCGTCCAGCCAGGATCCGCCAGAGCCGTCCAGCCGGGATCCGCCAGAGCCGTCCAGCCGGGATCCGCCAGAGCCGTCCAGCCGGGATCCGCCAGAGCCGTCCAGCCGGGATCCGCCAGAGCCGTCCAGCCGGGATCCGCCAGAGCCGTCCAGCCGGGATCCGCCAGAGCCGTCCAGCCAGGATCCGCCAGCCAGCCAGGATCCACCAGAGCCAGCCAGCCAGGATCCGCCATTTAGTCCGGTGCTGCCCCTTAGCTCGGTGTTGCTCCTTATCCTGGTGCTGTCCCTTATCCTGGTGCTGCCCCTTAGTCCGGTGCTGTCCCTTAGCTCGGTGCTGCTCCTTATCCTGGTGCTGTCCCTTAGTCCGGTGCTGCCCCTTAGTCCGGTGCTGCCTCTTAGTCCGGTGCTGCCCCTTAATCCAGGTGGGTTAGGTTGTAGGGTGGTCAAATGGAGGAGGCTACTAAAGCGGGTAGTGACTATGGTGGGGTGGGGACCACGACCAGTGCCAGAGCCGCCTCCGAGGAGCAACACCCACCCAGCCCTCCCCATTTTTTGGGTTAGGCGCGGTCGGAGTCCGCGCCTTTGGGGGGGGGTACTGTCACACTCTGGCTCCGGGACTGTGTGTTAGAGCCAGGGTGTATTTCATTTGGTGGTGTTGGGGATGGGTGTGTTTCATTTGTTTGTGTTTAGTGGTGATTGGTCAATGACTCCCAATCGGAGGTAACGAGTGTCAGCTGTCGGCTCGTTATCTCTGATTGGGAGCCATATTTAAACTGTGTGTTTTCACCTTGTGTTGGTGGGTTTTTGTTCCTGATGTTCCTTTGTTCCTGTGTTCCGTGTTTGTGTCACTGAGGACTTCACGATCGTGTTTTGTTTTCGTGTGTGCGCTTTATTCAATAAAGTCATGTTCGTTCAACACGCTGCGCTTTGGTCCGCTCATTCTCAAGACGATCGTGACACGCACGCACGGTCCCCCTGCTCAAGCCAGTGCATGTCCAGGCCCGTCTGAAGTTTGCCAATGACCATCTGGATGATCCAGAGGAGGAATGGGAGAAGGTCATGTGGTCTGATGATACAAAAATAGAGCTTTTTGGTCTAAACTCCACTCGCCGTGTTTGGAGGAAGAAGAAGGATGAGTACAACCCCAAGAACACCATCCCAACCGTGAAGCATGGAGGTGGAAACATCATTCTTTGGGGATGCTTTTCTGCAAAGGGGACAGGACGACTGCACCGTATTGAGGGGAGGATGGATGTATGCGAGATCTTGGCCAAGAACCTCCTTCCCTCAGTAAGAGCATTGAAGATGGGTCGTGGCTGGGTCTTCCAGCATGACAACGACCTGAAACACACAGCCAGGGCAACTAAGGAGTGGCTCCGTAAGAAGCATCTCAAGGTCCTGGAGTGGCCTAGCCAGTCTCCAGACCTGAACCCAACAGAAAATCTTTGGAGGGAGCTGAAAGTCCGTATTGCCCAGCGACAGCCCCGAAACCTGAAGGATCTGGAGAAGGTCTGTATGGAGGAGTGGGCCAAAATCCCTGCTGCAGTGTGTGCAAAGCTGGTCAAGACCTACAGGAAACGTATGATCTCTGTAATTGCAAACAAAGGTTTCTGTACCAAATATTAAGTTCTGCTTTTCTGATGTATCAAATACTTATGTCATGCAATAAAATGCAAATTAATTACTTAAAAATCATACAATGTGAAAGCTGATCCTCCTCTTTTCAGTAGAGGCCCTCACTCTGAACGCAGCTACCACTTCATTAAAGCCGTTAGATGCAGTTTATCATAGCGCACTGCGCTTTATTACGGGCGACAATTTTAGTACTCATCACTGCATTCTCTACCAGAAAGTTGGTTGGCCCTCTTTGATGTCACGTCGGTTGATATTTTGCTATGTTTTCATTTATAAAGCCCTTTCACAAAAAGTCCCACTGTACCTAACACCATTACTAAACTTTAGACATGAGTTAACACACCCGATCTCAGGGATGGCTAACTCTGCAAATTCCTTTGGTCTCTACTGAGTTAGGTAAATCAGCTTTTAGTTTTCTGTCACCTTATTTGTGGAACAATCTTCAAAATGTTATTTCATTTGATGTTTTGGTGCCTCTCGGGCAATTCAGAAAGCTGATTGACGACCTTATTACTGATTAATGTATGTTTTTTATGACTGTGTTTTTCTTTCTTTCTGCTTGCATTTTGTATTTATGTGAGTATTTTCTGTAATTTATGTAATTCAGGGCGCATCTGTAAAAGAGACCTTGGTCTCAATATGACTCCCTGATAAAATAAAGGTTAAATAAATATTTAAAGCCTATATAAAGTGTAAAAACCTACCAATAGCCTTGGCTCACGTGAGCACAGACTTCCCCCATGCTGGTAGAAATACAGTACGTCATTTGCAACTGTGTCACAACTGTGTCACAACTGAAACTTGCAGCTTGCCAACTCCTACCAGGGTCACCCAGCGACCTTGTCCCTGGCACACTTCATCTAAATACATGGAAGCTTATCCAAGATGTGTGCCAAGCCTGGTGGCAGAGGCCTTTAAGCTTTCTCAATATCCATCTCCTCATGTCCAATTCACAGAGAACCATATCATAATATTACACATCATTCACCATGTGTCACCATGTATGATATCAATTCGAAACACAAAGACACAGTAGCAAGGACAGTGGGTCTGCCTAACCTATTCATTTGACATTTTGCTTTCATCTTGTTGTATATGGGCGATATGTTCAAGAACCCATTTTAATTATATATTTTCATTACACAAAATCACTGTAATTTGATGATGACATACATACAGAGACAGTATAATCATATAAGTTACCTTTAGAATGATACTCAAATACATTCAAATAATATAGGCTACATTTACATGCAAACTTAAAAATGTGTTGATACTCTTTGTTAGAGTAGGTTACTTAATTTTCTGCTCTCAACGTTTTAATAAAGTACAAGGAAATGTTCCTTATAATAACATCCAGTCGGTGGGCTGGAACTGCACGCGCTTTAAATGGACGTGAAACGTGTGCAAAAGGGAAAAGTCTAAACGGGATCATTGGGACGTCCCAACTCTGATGTCACCCTTTTGAAGTTGACATTTCAACCAGTTAAGGTAAGGGTTAAGGTTAGGGTTATGGTTAGGGTAGGGGTTAAGGGTCAGGGTTTAGGGGGTATGGATGTCCCAAGGATCCCAAATAGCACTACCCGTCGTAAATATGCACGTCTTTACGAAACGCCGACGTTGATTGGAGCCGTTGGGTGTTCTGGGGACAGTGATTGGACACAAATCTGAGGTATGAACACGAGTGCGTACGTCTGCGTGACGCAAGTCACAGTTGGCTACAAATTGAGTGCTCGCGCGTCTTTATCAATGAAGTAGTAAAGACAGCTGGGCTACAACACAACACCAGAGAAAATAGAATAATACCGAAACTTGAATTTCTCCCTACCTCATATTATTTGGATTGTATTTGTTATTCACTGTGAGTGTCACTTCAGCTGGGACTTGGAGCAGAAATCAGAAAAACCGACTCAAAATGAAATGCGTTATAGGAATTGGCGGGTAAGTTATTAGTTGTCGTTAAAAAGTATGTTTATTATATAATACACGTATATTTTGATTAGTAGACATTTATGAACTCATTAGTTGACATCAAAAGTCTAAACAATAACACATGCAATGTTACTTACTTAGCATGCTAGTTGGCAAGGGGGTTAGCTACCTCTCAAAGTAGATTTTCTCGTCAGCTAAGTTTTTTATTTTTTTAAATTAAAAAATAGGTAAGAATCCAGGCAACTTTAGGCTAATTGTATTAACGCCATGTATTGTACTAACGTTAAGTAGTTAACCGGAGACTTGGTTGTAGCAAATCCCTTGGCACGTTTGTATGTTGTCATAGTCGGGCGGGAGATTTAAAATTCCAGCGCGGACTTTCACATTGAACATTGGAGGGAGTCTTTTTGAAATTTGCAAACGTGAGAGTCATACGCCTTGCTGGCAACTTGTATTCTAAATGTTTATTAAGCTGGCAAAAAGAAATAGTCATGCTATGTATATAATGTAACATTTTACTTGGCTGAATATCAGGCTAGATACCGCTAGATGTGGGACTGGCAACGTTTCGAGTTGTTTTCGAAGCTAACTTCTGACTAAATTCAGAGATACACTTACCTAGCTAGTTATACCATTATTTTTTTTTGTTTGATTGCCAACTTATTCAGAGTAGCTAACATTAGCTAGCTAAAATAGCAAGGTAATCAATGTGCCCAGTTCTGCCACAATGGCTAGGTTACTAGCTAGCTATGATGGGAACCTCAAAATTCTGCATGTAATGTTGACTGCTATTTAAGTAACTTACTGTAACAATACCTCCAAGGTATACTGATGAGTGTTGTATAGACTGCTCAGACGTTCAATGCACGGACGCCTTGCTAAATCGCATGTCATGTTTATCTATTTTCAGTGTGACCAATGGTGGGAAAACCACATTGACAAATAGGCTGATCAAGTCACTACCTAACTGTTGTGTGGTGCATCAAGATGACTTTTTCAAGGTAAACTTAGTTTTCTGCTACAACATATGTGGCTATACAGTGATGTATTTGCATGACCTTGCTAAGGGAAGGGCAAATATCCAAAACACTCACAACATTAACCAATAGCCATGATGTATGCCATCTACGTCACCTGTCCATAACTTTTTATTAGGTCTGCATAGTATGCTGTAAATTAACCTAGCACTGACATGATGCATAGCCTTAGACTCCTCCCTCAGTCTTATCTTTGACACACTCCTTGCTTATTGCCTTCCTAATTTCTTGAATTACAAACTATGTATGCATTGAACTGTACATAATCATAACTTCTGATTAACTCACTGCTCTATGCTTTGTTTCCAGTGTTTTATTGATGACTCACTGTATGCAAAGCTACTGGTTATATATGGTTTCTCAATGCTATTTTGCATGTTATTATCCCCTGCATGCTTTGGCTGGGTGTGCCCGGCTTGCCGTGTTCAGCATGTAATAAGATCTGCCCGTATACATATCAGCCTGCAGTTGCAGCAATGTTTTATTGGTGACTGTTATTTCAGAAACCTGATCAGATAGAAGTCGGGGAGGACGGCTTTAGACAGTGGGATGGTAAGCCTGGATTTCGCTGTAGGAGACGCATAACTGATCATTGTACTTGTCCCTTAGGGTAACAAAGCATCCCTCAAAATTGCATATTTGATAGTACATGCATGAATAGTAATACTACACTAGAGCACAATTCCCATTAAACAAGACTGAACACATTTCTTCATCCAGGTGTGTCCCTTTTTTGCTAAACTTATTTCCCCTCTGCCTTTCTCTGTTCTATGCAGTGATCACAGCGTTGGACATGGAGTCCATGGTGAACACGATTCGAGGCTGGACTGAGAACCCAGTGAAGTTTGCCCACTCCCACGGTGTCAACGTGTCCCCTTCCACAGAGGTTGCCGACCCAGAGCAGCAGATCCACATTCTGATCGTGGAGGGCTTCCTTCTGTACAACTACAAGTGAGTTCAACTGCTAACTGGAAATGTACTAGCTAACGTGAGTAATCAGCTGGTTTGTGCAACGTGTAAAAATAATTTGGGCCATGGTGTATTCAAATTGCTTGCAAGCATTAGTTGTCATAGGAATAGGGGACAAGCTGTCTCAAATTTGGATTCGAAGAGTTGTATGACAAATATTTGGACTAGTGTCCGTTCAAGTGACATGTGGGCTGTGCTGGCAGCTAGTTAGAGCATGCTTTTCTCACTAATACACAGGGCTGTGTTTACACAGGCAGCCCAATTCTGATCTTTTGCCAGTAATTGGTCTTTTGACCGATCTGATATTTTGCCAATATTTGGGTTAAGTTCAGAATTGGGCTGCCTTTGTAAACTGCTGTAGAGGCTGGTCCTGCAGTGCAGGTAAGGGTGTCAACTGAATGAGGCACTCGGTGCTGTTGGATGATGTGTTCTCCAGAAGTGTGCGATCTCCATTATGGGGCTCCAGAATGCAGATGGACTTCTGAGAACCTCAGAATTGTACATTGGTGTAGAACTAGAAGTTACCTTGTTCTGTCATGTTTCCCCAGGCCCCTGATGGACGTGTACAACAAGTGCTACTACATCTCCATTCCATACGAAGAGTGCAAAAGGAGGAGAAGGTGGGAATGGGGAGACTTCAGATCACTAACATTCATATGTAGCTATAGTATGGTGGCCGTTCTGTCTGAAAAGAAATGACAAATCTCCTTTATTTTAAATTGAAAGTTGTGCTAAATTCATATTTTTGTTTCCTTTTTAGTACAAGACAATACACCGTCCCTGACCCCCCTGGCCTGTTTGAAGGCCATGTGTGGCCCATGTACTTGAAGCACAGGAATGAGATGGTTGAGAGCTGTTTAGACATTGGTATTTACACGTTTGGCTCCTTTTTCATTTGTCAGTGAGAGTTATTGAATTTCAGCTATGCAATTAGGTTTCTGTAGCCATTTTGGTGGTACTAGCTAGTAGCTACGACTTCTCTTTGGCAAATGTCCTGATCGAGCTTTACATTTTGCTATAGCGTATCTGGATGGTTTGAAATCAAAGGAAGATCTCTACAGCCAGGTGTATGAGGACATCCAGAATACACTGTTGAATCGTTTATAGGTAAGAGGTGACAATGGTGTGTTTTGACTTATGTCCTCTAACAGTGTTGACGCTAAATTGAGTGTGGTTATCTAACTTTACCTTTTCTGTTTTATACAGCAGGAACTCAATCTCCAAACCTGTATAGACCTGTAAATAGCACCAAGACTGAAGATGTCGTTTTTTTAAATTAAAGCATTCTTTTTTTAAATTGTATTCCTTATTCTGTTGATAGTATTGAAGGAATGTTAACTTATGTTTTACAGAATAATCATTTCTGTTTGTTTTCTTATCTAATCTCTTGTTACTCCATTACTTCTGTTAATTAAACCACTGCCTAGTATCAGAGGTAGAGGGTTTACTCTTACAAAAATCTGCCCATGAAAATTTTTTTGTATGGAGGCCACAAAAAAATAGGGTTTGCTAAATCTCCAAATAAGGCTTATTTGATCAATTAGAAGTTTCATGGTTAGTTGTTTTGAATGCACTGATATGTGGACACATGGCATTTTGTTAGCTTTGAGAAAAACAAATCTTTAAATCGGAGTTGTGCCTGTACATCTGCCCTCTCATTGGCTAGAATGGTCCCACCTGAACTGGCTGTGTCTTCCATCGTTGAGGATATGTATTTACTTTGTTAGTCAAGTGACCACTCTATTCTATCTTATGAATATAATACATGTTTGCTAGTATGTACTTGCCTGCGTTTGGCAGGTAAATTGTCCATCTCAAATTAAATTGGGTTGTTGCTATTCTGAGACTTTTCAATGTTACTCCTGTGTCCTGTCTTTATTTACATTTCTCAAATGAAGTGAGGTACATGGGGTATGAATAAACAGATTCAAGCCAGTCTGTGTACACTCACAAAGCTGTCCTAGGGTTGACACAAAACAAAGGAGTGTTAATCTGTTTTAGGCTTGTGTATGTGCATACAGTAATATATATATACTTCCACATTAATTGATTGAACTCGTACAAAGCCAGCTTGATAGAACACTGGTATATTTGCCATTGGGAGAAAAAATACCGGTATGATGTGGTAAACTGATTCTATGGTTCATGTGGAAGTTAAAACGCCGTCCTTGTTTACATTGTTTATCACACCATTAGATTCACTATAAAGGCCTAGTATAGTATAGTATGACCTATTGCTTTTCTAATGAAATGTGCATGTTGGTGTGTCTGTCCCTAAGGATGTTGCTCAACTGTCATTTGGTCGAGCTGCAGAGCCTTAGTAAGTGAAAATTGAAGTGGTGTTGGCAGGCGACTGGAGTAACCCCTGTACTTCCCTACTGGAAATACTGAGGGTTGAGGAGAGCGGAAGAGCTCAACTTCTCAAACTTCATGTGTGGGTGTTGTTGATCTGGAGAAAGGTTTTGACAAGATGATCAGCTCACTCATCTCCCTCTCACTTTGAGGCCAATGTGTTTGTCATGTTTCAATCCTAATAGTATTATAACAAATGCCCAATAAATGCCAATTTCAGGTGCTTTGTTGGTGGGGCCTACCAGTTCCCTGGCATAAGCATTGGAGGCTGTGGATTTGTGTTATATGTCCTCCATATTAGTACGTGCCAACTGTCTTGCAGCAGTGTTGTGTAACCTGGAGACAATGGCGTGATAGCAGTGACAGGTGTACGGTGTGTCATTGTGTGAACTGGACTCAACACCAAACATGGACCCTGCTAAGCTCTTTCTACTAAACTAGACCAACGGTCTTAGATCTCATAGATCCAAATCAACTTGTCGCTATTCGATAAAGTTTTTATGTTTCTGTAAGCTCACTTTAATGACTGCAGATTTTCTAACCAATGCAAACTGACTAAAGGTGGAAATATACAAATGCCATGGTACATAAACCAGCTCTAATCATCAGCTTTTCCTTACAATACACACACACATCCTACTGAAACTATGCTTGAATTATTGAAAACTGCTTTACAGTCTAGGCCTATATTGAATGTTAACCTGCGCAAAAACAAATCCTGTCTAGACATTTTCCTGGAAGAACAACCTCCTTTTCGAAGGGAAACGTGTGGATAAACTCTGTCGTACATCCATCAATCTATGCGTTGCTGAAAAGTATCTACAGTTACACTGACCTACCAAGTCAAAGAGCAGTAAGTGCTCATAGAGTGAAACAGAAAATGTACTTGTTTTAATTGTCCGGCCAAATGAATTGTAAGCAGATCATTGGAGGTGTGGTTATCTGTTGCTTACTATGAGGTTATTTTTTATTCATATTGACCATGACCTCTGACATAACCTTTGACCCTAGACGGCAGTTACTGCCTTCTTGCTTGGTACATCCACTGGAATATGTTTCCATGCCGTTAAAAAAAAAATACAACCTTGTGTTCAGAGATTTCTTCGTATGTGGCTGTCAGTCTCATAGTTTGATACTTCGTATCAGCAAAGAGCAATAAATAATACCAAGGTAAACTGTAATAACTGCAGCCCAAAGCTTGGTGAAACCAAGGTAAAAAAGCAGTAACTCACATGAGTGATTGCGGTTACTGCTTTTTTCCTTGGTTTCACTGTAACTTCTTCCTGTTACTGCAGACATGGCATTCTGTATTAAATCAAGGTGAAACTGCATGCCAACAGTTTGTAGTGTAATGTTTGGCATGGTTAGGCAATTGAAGCAACAACACAGACGTTGTAGTTTGGTTTTAATAATCATGTAACTGCCTGACTGATGGTGCACCTCTCTGGGAGTGTTGTACATTGTGTCTACAGTCTTTCTCTTATCTCTTAAGCTCCCTTTGTAACAAATGCTTCTATTTCTTTAATGACTGATCCTAATTTATGGCTTCTGAACTTGTCAACGATTATAACAGTCATTGCTATGCCACAGTGAAGTACCAAAAATGTTTCTGAACAAAATGCTACAACTGTACCTTGTTTGAAATAAATATAAACATATGGTTTACAGATGACAAGGGGAGTTATTTACACAAAATATTAGCTGGTGCAATGAACATAAAACATTGCAATATTTCAACTTATCAAAAATGAGAAGAAATTGTTCGAAAAATAAAATAATTTATGGTAGTCTAACACTTTACAACACAGAATAAAGTGGTAATAACATGGTAATAGTATGGTTTCTCATAGCAACTACTGGCATCTAACATAGTTACATTCCAGAGTTCTACCTGCAATGCTACCTATGACCTGTGCCCCATTGACCTTAAATAAATAAAAACCAATTGACAGGGGGGAAGGGCTGTGTGGAACCTGTAGGAGACCGATATAGTAACCACCCGTTGGCACACATTCAGTTGCAGCCAGCTAACCTTGTAATGGTTGCCCTCTGGAAGACAGACCCTCACATACAAATTGCTAAAAGGCTCTGAGTGCTTGTGGACATAGACAGGTTGAGTGTTTATATTTAGCTGGGATTCCTGCATTGTCAGGGGAGGAGATATAGTGCTTGTATAAAGATGGACACCCCCACCCTCTAATCCACAGCATGACTGGCCTGTTGCCCATAGCTACCCTTCTGACTGACAGGCAGCTCCCTACCCTCAGCCTGGTCTCATAGACTAGACATAACATAGTGAATATAAATCCGGGACACTCAAATTACATTTACATTTTAGTAATTTAGCAGACGCTCTTATCCAGAGCGACTTACAGTTAGTGAGTGCATATTTTTTTTTTTCATACTAGTATGATGTGTTACGTTTGGTATGGTTACATAAGACACATGGTTACTTAAGGCAAAAATGAAATGGGCAGGGTGGATAGGTGGGCGTGTAACACGAATGTCTAGCAACCCTAAGGTTGCGAGTCCGAATTTCATAATGGAAAACTTTAGCATTTTAGCTAATTGACAACTTTTTAACTACTTACTACTTTATAGCTACTTTGCATGTTAGCTAACCCTTCTCCTAACCCTTTTAGCTAACCCTAACCTTAACCCTTTAACCTAACTCCTAAACTTAACCCTAACCCCTAGCCTAGCTAATGTTAGCCAGCTACCTAACGTTAGCCACCTAGCCAGAATTCGTAACATATCATGTTTTGCAAATTAGTGAAATTTTGCATGTTTTGCAAATTCGTAACATATTGTACGTTTAGCAAATTTGTTACATATAATACGAATTGTAATCCGTAACATATACGAAAATGGTGTTGGACATCCACAAATTAGTACAGTACATACCATAAGAAACGTAACATATCATACTAAATGGAGTGTTCTGGATTTACGTACAGAATAATAGGAAATGCTCTGAGACCAGGTTGCAGCCAACCTTGCTTCTCCTCCAGCCACAGTACACAATGCATCAGAGGGGGACAAATCAGGGGAACGGTGAGGCCTCCTCTGTCAATCATGTGCTCTTATGAATCCACTTTACACCCTCTCAATCACATATGTAATGAGTGGAAACAGAATGACGCACAATAAACCTTGTGCCTTCCCACAGAAACCTACTGTCGCTATCCTCTGTTACCTTGCAACATATAATGGCTGGACAACTGTTTATGAGTTGCATTAGCACAGAACTGAGCTGTATATTTACTTTATTAAACCCGATGCATATATTATAATCGTATACCACAGAAGTGGTCGTGGAGCCGTTTTATGCACAGTATATGCAATAGCTTACATAATCTTTTCATCTTACTATTCATAACATACAGGCATTCGTACTGTATTGTATACTGCCATCGGACAGTGATAATTAGAGCTCTTCAGTTGCAGACTATTCTAAGACTCCTGCACTGTAACAGATCTGACGTGAAGGCTTCGTGGAACATATCTGACCAGGACGGTAACAGATCTGACCTGTTAGATATCAGATCTCTGAGGAAGGAAAAGTTCACACTGTTTGACAGCAGCCAAGACTTCCATAATGATATGTGTCAAATCATCATAAACCATTAAGTGAGATACAGATCAGTTTCTTACATAACTATAGAATTCATGTCTGGGTAATACTGGCAAAAAGCCATGTCTCTAAAACCTAAAAGAGACGATTGGTCATTGTGTTGGTATTGGTTTGCATTGGCATTATCATTCAAAATTGATGTATTGTAAAACTTTAATCCTCCCCTGAAAATGTAGATAAATAATTATCTTGCCATTTATATTTGGCAGCTTATTAGAGTGAGACACTACAAAAAGCTAGGCTATTTCTATTTCATAAGGGCAACATTGGAACCAAGTTTTGTCATTTATGGTTTGTATGCATGTTTGTTCTTCACTGCAGATGTTATGGTTATAAAATAAACCCTCATTTAGATGTCAACCTTGCCATCTATCATGGTGCTCTTGAAGTAAATTAAGTGTACAGCGATATCATCTTTGTGTCCTATTATGGCATCTGTGAGCACATGGGCTGCGCCATTGAGGCAATCTCCATTTTGAAGTAGTACATTTTCCGCTTCTACTACATCTATGAGTTGGCAAACAAACTGAAAGTGTGCATACTGCCACCTAGTGTTTGCTCACACATATAATTAATTGGCTGATCCCTCCTGACAACCCGGATGGAATAATGTGATCTTTCCTCAACACAGGAAGTCCCACCCAGTTGACTACTTTAAAATGGTGGAAGCCTTCAGTGGCAATCAATGTCCATGCCAAAACGGGTTTTATCCATCTAGAGTCCTCTATCTAACTCTATGACTTCAGCCTTGCATGGAACAATACAGGGGTAAACAAAATGTATGCACTCACTAACTGTAAGTCGCTCTGGATAAGAGCGTCTGCTAAATGACTAAAAATGTAAATGTAAACTGGACTACAGGTCGTATGGCAGGCATTTTGTAGTTTTACTTAACCGAGTCAGGTGCACTGCGTTTCTTCCAGTAAATAAATAGGCTACCTTCCCTAGAGGTCACTGCCATCATGTGGTAAGGTTTTCGTGGTGGTAATTGAGAGATTTAAAGAGAGTCATAGAGAAACAGAACTCGATAACCCCTATTATTATCCCTCAGCTGTATGGTATGCACGACTGTATTTCAGAGAAGTAGTGTGAGGTAACACAAAGCCCACTGTGTGATTTTACCGTGTGGCATTTACCGTTAAAATAAACAGTGTGAATGGATCTCAAAGAGCCATGCAGTGGCAGCGCGCGTCACCTGCCTGTGTGCTTATTTTCATGATGCAAATAGCTCCTACTATGACACATTTTCTATTCAGGTATTATGAAGGTTTTCAATTTAATCCACGTATACAACCTATTGCTTATGATGGCGATCAGTCAGTTGTGACAGAAGTTCCCAATTAATGCCTAAAGGTGTGTCATGACATTTGACCAAAAATGTATCAAAGTTGAATGACCAATCAGGGACACATACGTTTTTGACTAAAATCACTTAATTTACTTTTAGATATCTTGCCTTTTCAGTACAAAATCTCAACGTGCTCTGAGAAAGGGCTACCTACCAACTATGGGCAAAATGTACTTATACTGAACAAATAGTTATATAGCCCACCCGACGGTTAAATTAAACATGATATTTGTAAAATAAGCCCTTGCTCCTGTCTGTGCAAGCGTAGACAAACGAATTCTATGAAAGTGAGTGGCTATATTTCCACTTTCCAAGTCGTTCACCTGACTTTCATTGTGGAGATTTGGTGCGCAACCGCATGAGGGAATCAAGTGTGTGTACAAAACATCACCCGTATCCCAGCATCACTTAGACTACATTTTCACAGAAGTGTCAAATTTACGCAGTTAATGTCCCAGAGTTTGGTATAGTTCAGATAATTTTAGCCATGGAGAAGTTTTATTTCTACCTTTCTGCCTGCTTTATGTTCTGGTTCGTTTAATCACTGGACAGCTCCATTTACGCACGCGTATGGGGTCATTGGAGACACATAATCCAATGGGAGAACGACGGTCGGGTGTGTAGATTACTCAGCACGGGGTCTGAATATCACGCACCGGCACAGACGAGGAGACTACCTGTTCAGCTCTACCTGACCACCAAGAGGGATTTCAACAGACATCACCCACCTTCTGCAACAAATAGATCCTCTAGAACTAGAACATTGGTTCTGGAGGAGAGCATTCGATCGAAACCCAGCATATTCTGAATGCACTGCGCGCAGTGAGTCAGACGTCTCGGTTCTGGGCTCTTCGCCATTGTCCGCGACTGCACGAGCGCAGCCAGAAATCAACCGCACGTCACATCCCCGAGGGATACGGAGCCGGTGGCGGAATACCCAGGAGCGCGTCCGCCTCCCCAAGGAGGCACCGGCTCGACTTCCAACGGTACTGGTCTCGGGGCTCTCCAGGAGTTCTCAGGCAGTGGGATCCCGAAGGGGAGGACGAAACCCTGCTCGGGATGATGTCAGCCTGCCGGTTCGGCGACAGGTCTCTGCGTCACGGGTTAGGAGCGAGGAGATTACACATGGTCGCGGCACAAACCAGGCGCGACACGAGAAACCAGAAGCATCAACCCAGGCACCCACATCTGGGTACGTGAATAATACAGAGGGTGCAAACACTAGACAACGCGCCCCGCGCACTGCCAAAGCAGTGGATTCCATTACCTCATCCAGACGCATTCCAGCTCCAGAATCAAATGCATCTCCAACTGCTCTGAGTGCGCTTTCTGACAATGGCGTGGACTCACTCACAGCCCCAGCAATCACTCGCTCGCAGCCCCAGCAATCACTCGCTCGCAGCCCCAGCAATCACTCGCTCGCAGCCCCAGCAATCAAGGACGGTTGAAAGTAATAATATGATAGCTGACCCAAACAAAAAACACCAAAATGCAGTTTTCTATAACATGTACCCGTCAGGCGGGAGAACCACAGCACCTGTGCGTCATCCACCGAGAACAGGCTATGGCACCAGATTATTTCATAACGCTAAAGTAGAAGGTGATGTGACAATATACCTTATAGAGTATTTGCTTTGCATTATGCAGACATATATTTACATCCAGATAAAAGTACAGTATATTACAAACAATTTATAAAACTCTCACACATCCTTGTAAATCATACAACTAACATGGATGGCTTGTGATTCCTCTTCCCCCAGTCTCCCAGACCTTGTTCCTGACCTCTACTATATCCAAGCTGCTTATTATATCCAACTTGTACAGATGTATGCCCTGAGATGTGCTAGAGAGGAAAACTGTCTGTCATGGTAGGAGTTCGTGTTTTATGATTGATTATGCATATCCGTGTAAGATCAATTGCGCTAAAACATTTATCTTGACATCATCTATGGGTTATATCACAAATGACGTCTACAGTTATTTGATTGATTAGGTAGAAATCAGACAGGTTGTATGGACCAGACTTCTTTGGCACTGGCCCGTTTGGGAGTGACAGTATAGTGACAGAGCGTCATACAACCTGCCAGCCAACCTAGATTTTCTCTCTCTGCTCTGCCAAGTAAAATAAACTCCAAATGAAAGGCTGAGGATTCCTGAGGTGAATTTCAAACTGTCCAAAGTACACCTCAAGCCTCCTCCTCAGTGTATTCTAAAGTATAATAGGTGAACCAATATTAACTTGTTATTATGTTGCTATTAAGTTGTCATTAATGATCATTCAAATGACGTTCCATGCACTTATCAGTCATAATTGGGGTCAGGAGTATTTTCTGACCAAGAAAGTTATGGTCAGGTCACATTGTCAGGAGAAACTCCTGGTCTTAGTCACTATGTAAAGTACATTATTTTGATTGCTCTCCCCCAAGGTCAGCATATTGACCAGGTGTCAGAGACTACAGGACTCTGCTGAGGTTTCCCCAAAGGGTGAAGAACCAGGGGACAGCTGACTTCCTCCCAGTCAAACCCAGACACCAGTGGGAATGGCACAGCTGCCACCAGCACTACCACAGCATGGTGGCCTTCAGTAACTATGACCTGCTGGATGTCATCACGGGCAGGAAGGTGGCAGAGGGACACAAGGCCAGCTTCTGTCTGGAGGACACCAGCTGTGACCCAAGAGTACGCAGACGCTTCGCTTGCACAGCACACACACAGGTTCTGATAGTTTAATCGATTAGTCAACCAATCAATCCGTTTTTTATGTGTTTTTAATCACTTTTACATGTGTTTGGTACAGGGATTGGGTCCTGGTTGCTATGACACCTACAATGCCAACATTGACTGCCAGTGGATTGACATCACGGACGTGCCAATGGGAAACTATATAATTTTTTTAATTTCTCCAAAGCATATTGCAAAACTAGCAACGTGTCATTGACCTATCTTGTCTCATGATGTCATACATCATGTGATGGTGAACCCAGTGCAGGAGTCAGATTTCTCAAACAACATAGTGAGGTGTGAAATCAGGTACACAGGAACCTATGTCCACACCAGGAACTGTAGGATCACTGGGTAAGTCATAGAAACTTTCTGTATATAATTTATGTACACATTTGATTTATTGTACTGTGAAATATGTGTTTGTTTATCATTGGTTTATGTCATTGATTCCACAGGAGTTAATCCTAAATTGCTCTGGTGGAGTGGTGTCACGACTTCCTCCGAGGCTGCCTCCTCTCCTTGTTCGGGCAGGCTTCGGCGTTCGTCGTCACCGGTCTTCTAGCCACTGCCGCTCCTCATCTCATCATTCCATTTATTATTGTCTTGTTTATTACACACACCTGGTTCATATCCCCTCATCAGTACCTGTATAAGTGTTCCCTCTGCCCCGTTGTCTTTGTGTGTGATTGTTTATTGTGAGGTTAGTGAAGCTCTGTGGAGCTCCTTGTATTTTGTATTGCCAGGGTTATTTCCCCCGTGTGCCTTGTTGGTTTCAGTGCGCCTGTTTTGCGCACTGGACTGTTGTGATGCTTTATTGCGTAACTCTGTATTCCGGAATAAATCCTGTTTGGTGGGTTTGTATCATTTGATTTACACAACATGCCTACCACTTTGAAGATGCAAAATATTTTTGGGGGTGAAACAAACAAGAAATAAGACCAAAAAAAACTTGAGCGTGCATAACTATTCACCCCCCCCCCCCCCCCCAAAGTCAATACTTTGTAGAGTCACCTTTTGCAGCAATTACAGCTGCAAGTCTCTTGGGGTATGTCTTTATAAGCTTGGCACATCTAGCCACTGGGATCTTTGCCCATTCTTCAAGGCAAAACTGCTCCAGCTCCTTCAAGTTGGATGGGTTCCGCTGGTGTACAGCTATCTTTAAGTCATACCACAGATTCTCAATTGGATTGAGGTCTGGGCTTTGACTAGGCCATTCCAATACATTTAAATGTTTCCCCTTAAACCACTGGAGTGTTGCTTTAGCAGTATGCTTAGGGTCATTGTCCTGCTGGAAGGTGAACCTCCGTCCCAGTCTCACATCTCTGGAAGGCTGGAACAGGTTTCCCTCAAGAATCTCCCTGTATTTAGCGCCATCCATCATTCCTTCAATTCTGACCAGTTTCCCAGTCCCTGCCGACGAAAACCATCCCCACAGCATGATGCTGCCACCACCATGCTTCACTGTCGGGATGGTGTTCTTGGGGTGATGAGAGGTGTTGGGTTTGCGCCAGACATAGCGTTTTCCTTGATGGCCAAAAAGCTCAATTTTAGTCTCATCTGACCAGAGTACCTTCTTTCATATGTTTGGGAAGTCTCCCACATGCCTTTTGGCGAACACCAAATGTGTTTGCTTATTTTTTTCTTTAAGCAATGGCTTTTTTCTGGCCACTCTTCCGTAAAGCCCAGCTCTGTGGAGTTTACGGCTTAAAGTTCTCATATGGACAGACACTCCAATCTCCGCTGTGGAGCTTTGCAGCTCCTTCAGGATTATCTTTGGTCTCTTTGTTGCCTCTCTGATTAGATTGCACACAGGTGTAATAATAATAGTTTGTAGGCCAAACCGTTCGGACGCTACAGAAGTTTTCGTGAGAAGACCAATTTTCAGCATGTCTCATGGTCCGACAAACAGCTGTGCCACCTTTCACCGCAGATGCGGAAGGCAGACATAGGCAGATGCGGTCGATTGAGACGCAGCCCATGCAGAAAAAACTGATATCTCTAGCTTAAACGGACAGATTTTGTATTATGTTACTTAGATTGACGCACGGGTGCGTCAATAGACTCTTACCTTTAATTAGAATTTTGCATCAATAGACTCTTAAGTATATGGTGTACCTTTAATTAGAATTCTGTCGACAGACAGAATACATTGAGAGAACTGGTTCAGAAAATAGGGATCAAGTAGAAAGCCATCTATATAAATATATGCATATTCATCTCCGTTTTAACACCAACTGGTAGATTTAAAAATAGTCTGATCTTGTAGATTATTTAGGCAAATTTTAGGGTTAGGAATGAATTATGGTTTGGAGAGCCTTTAAGCACAAATTATATTGATGAATTAAAAATATAGTGGTTTGATTCATTCTGATGGTAATGTTAGTGGAAAATTAGTGTACATAGAATTATAATAGGGAGAATAGTGAACAATAGTAGGCTATACCTGTTAGGCCTGCTGCTGCTAGGTAGCTCTCTCTCTGCTCTCCCCCTCCCCTCTGTCTGTCCTTGATTGCAGGAGTGAAGTCTGGTGTGCGGGAGTCAGGGTTCCAGCTGCAGCTCATTCACCATAATCACCTCAGCCTTTAAGACCCGGTCAAACTTGCCACTCATCGTCAGATCATAGTCAAGACGACCATGTTAGTTTCGCTGTTGACTCAACCTGCTTGTTTTCGCCCTTTGTGTTTTTGGCCTGTTCTAGTTACTTTTCTCCTGTGCCACAGATTATTGGAACCTGACTCCTGCCTCCGCTTCACTCCTGCCACCACCATAATAATAATAATAATAATATGCCATTTAGCAGACGCTTTTATCCAAAGCGACTTACAGTCATGCGTGCATACATTTTTTGTGTATGGGTGGTGTTTCTGTATGGTATGTTGGATTAAGGAATAAAGACAGACACCAATGTTCAGTTCAATAGCCTTGTTCAGCCTTGTACAAATCCCTACGCGTGGAGTCTGGGGAACAGTCCAACTAGTCGATTACCTATCAACTAGACTCCGTAACATCATCCTTTTCAATAGAAAGTGCAAACATAACATTGAGTTCTTAACAGTCAAGTCATAACAATTGAAAGTGCAAACATAACATTGCGTTCTTAACAGTCAAGTCATAACAATTGAAAAGCATGACATTTTCTTTTTACTTCAGCTGTCATCTTCCTTTTTAAATTTTTTTTTTTTTTTTTTTTTTTTTTTTTTAATTAACAGACAACCAGTTAAGTCTCTTGCTTACAGAGTAAGCCTGTCCGGTGGCTTGCACAGCCGACCCACCCGTGAGTAAGTATTGGCTCTGACAGGGGTAGGATTAGGGCCACGAGCTGGAGAGTTTGGTGGGGTAGAAGCTTCACCTTCAGTTGGCTCATGTCTCAATTCTGCACCCCTTACCCTTAGGCCTGGACTGTGATCCAGCTCATCTAAGTGAGTGTATGGCATGTTCTGGTTTGTCTGCTCTGCTACGCGCAGATCCACCCGATTGCGACGATAGAGGGAGCCACCAACATCCACCAGGTAAGAACGTGGTGCAACTCTCTGTAGGCATGTGCCCAGCCTCCAAAGTCCTGTGTGGTCTCCCGGCAGCGGTTTCATCCTTATAGTTTCACCCACCTCCAGCTCTGGTAGGTCTCGAGCAGTCCGGTCGTAGAAGCACTTAGCGAGCTGCTTTCTGTGACGCAGTTTGTCCGTGACGCCAACCATGACGCAGGGCTCAAGTAGCTTGTTAGCTACGGGGATAGTAGTCTTCAGACGTCTGGACAGAAGGCGTTGTGCTGGGCTGCTGTCCATGTTTTCGGTGGGTGTGTTCCTCCACTGTAAGATCGCTTTCCATGGGTCGTTGCTGTCGCGCAAGGCCCTGCTTAACAGGTTTTTTGCAATCTTGACAGCTGATTCTGCCTTGCCATTTGCTTTTGGGTGTCTTGGAGAGGAGGTCACGTGGTCAAACTCCCATTCTGAGGCGAAACGCTTGAACTGTGCAGTGAATTGTGGGCCATTGTCCGTGATTACCTTGTCAGGCTGACCTTGCCTTGCAAACTGCGCCTTGCAGCGCTTTATGACCGTCTCTGCGGACAAGTCAGGGAGCAGTTCAATTTCCCAAAAGTCAGAGTAATGATCAACGAGGAGAAGATAGTCCTTTTGTCTGTGGCTGAATAAGTCCATGCTGATGATTTGCCAGGCCCTTGTGGGCAGTTCGTGTGACATCATGGTTTCTTTTTGCTGTTCATGAGCGTACTCGTTGCATGTGGTACAGTTGCTGACAAAGTCTTTAATTTCTGCTTGCATGTTTGGCCAGTATAATGTTTCACGAGCCTGACGGTAGCATGCGTCACCTCCGACGTGACTGGAGTGTATGCGGGTAAGCATCTCTGGACGTAGTGATTTGGGAATAATGACCTTCTGACCTCTGAACAAGACGCCATTTTGCACACTGATCTCATCTCGAAAGGTCCAGTATTCTCTCACTGTGAAAGGTGTCTCCTCTTTCAGATATGGCCAACCTGCTAGAGCCATGGACTTCAGTGACTGTAGGTGTTCGTCCTTGTCAGTATGTTGCCTGATCTGGGCTAGGCGGTGATCTGTCACGTTTAAGTAGTCTGCCTGATTGATCTGTTGAACATCTTGTTGTTCCTGCTGTAGCGAACAGATGGCCTGCCGCTGATAGACAGTGCCTCTACCTGTACATTGTGCTGTTGCCCTGCTCAGTGTGTCGCTGATGTACATCTCAGGTCCTGGCTTGTAAATGACCTTCAGGCTGTAGTTTTGCAGAGTCAGGAGCATACTTTGAAGCCTCTTGGGCGCGTTGAGGAGAGGTTTACTGAATATGGCAATGAGTGGTTTGTGGTCAGTTTCAGCGGTGACCAGCTCTCGACCATATAAGTAGTGATGGAATCGCTGGCAGGCGAAGACGATGCTGAGGCACTCTTTCTCAATTTGTGCATAGTTTTGTTCGGTGGGGGTGAGCGCTCTCGAGGCAAACGCAACGGGCTGGCCTTCCTGCATAAGGCAGCATCCAAGTCCCCTTTGGCTAGAGTCGCTCTGGATTGTGACAGGCTTCGTGACGTCGTAGTAGCGCAACACTGGCATGGATGAAGCCAGAGATTTCATCTCCTGCACTGCGGCCTCGTGCTTGGGTAGCCAGTGCCATGGTGTGTCTTTGTCCAGCAATCGGCGCAGAGGCTCACAGACTGCTGATAGGTGTGGCATGAACTTTGCAAGATAG